ATTCATGTGATGCAGTGAGTGATAATAAACTGATCCAGGACTATTACAGCCACGTCACTCAAGTCCATTCACAGCCGGGTCGTAGCACCGTCTGGCTGATGTGAGGCCCGCTGCTCCGTGGTTTCAGCTCAGCCACTGATGACACTCGAGCGTGGCATAAAGACTGTGAAGAGCCTCCTGCTCGCAATGCCAGGAGGTAATTCTGGCTCCACCACTGGCCCCCCACACCTGTCCGCCAGCAAACATGGAGATCGACCCCGCTCACCCAGAACTGTTGCATATTCCATGAGCCAACACAGTGTACAGCACTTCATCTTTTTCCAAAATGGGTTATAAACACAAATTGGTGCACAACAATTGCACGAAAAAACATGTTTTTTCCCCCTCTAAGCCCAGAAGAAAATAAGGTTGATACGGAGACTCAGCTGCAATAACCCATTCACTTATTGAGCAGCAGCGGCTGGATACTCTCTCAGCCTGCAGGCTTAAACGAAAAGGCAGAGCATGGCTGCCTGATTGAATGGGTTTGTAATGCAAGCCAAATAGGTTTGTTCTAATGGGAATCAGCCTCGGTGGCTGCTGCAGAGGCTTACGCCAGCAATATAACAGCAGTGAGCAGCGGGGGCAAACACCCCTCGCTGTGATTGGCTGTGAGAGGCAGGAGCAACACTGAGGGTGCTGTGTGTCCTAATGGCAGCTTTAGTGAGGTAATATTAAATGAGCCTTGACTGTAGGAATCACTGTATTTGTGAGGGAAGGGATTACAGTGTATCTGTTGCATGTGTATACTGTGTCACTGTAGGCTCTACTGGCTCAGGTCTTTTTTATAACTTCATAAAATCCAAAGCATCCCTGTATTCTGAATACTATGGGCACCTTTTGAATAACTTTGACTGTCATACCGAAATGAATTCTGATAAATTCAGATGTGTGCTACGGCTCTCATGCATGTGCAAATGCGAATTACCAAAACATTTTTTTTTTTTTTTAGAAGCAGTATTCTCCTCTGTGAGAGAATTGTTCATATGGCTACAATTGTCTTTAATGATATTGAATCCAAATCAGGATGTAGAGATGTGACACTTATAAGCAAAGTAGGCTACTTCTGTAGAGCTCTTACATGAACACCTTTTATTTTTACTTCACCCTTTGGGAATCTATTGACATAGTATACCCAAGGTTTTGCATATCACTCAATACAAAACGGGGCAAAATAGGATGTTTTGTGCGGTGCTATCAGCATTGAAACTTTCCATTTATGTCATAAACAGAGTATATATATTTGTAAATGTCCCCGTTAAAATGAAATATATAATCCTCCACTCCTAGTCCTTTTTAGTTATTATTTATTAAATATGTAATTGGATGGAGTTGCATAGTTGTCATGAGGATGCACACAAGTAAGAAATTAACATTAATTGATTAATATCAGAAATTTCATTTGTGTGTGCATGCAGGTCTTTTAAGAGGCCCTATAATGCTTTTGGGGGTTTTCCCTTTCATGTAGTGTGTTATATAGGTTTATGTGCAATTTAAATGGTCTGCAAAAGCTATCTTTGCAAATGGTATGCATGAAACAAATCCATTGGACTTTGTTTCCTTCAGTAACATAATGACATCACTATGTAACACTTGTGCTTCTATTGGCTAGTGCTACAACACATCTTTATGCGGTTGACCAATCACAACAGAGCTGACCAGCTAACCAATCAGAGCAGACTGGGCTCTGGTTTCAGACAGAGGGTGAAAAGAGGTGCTGCAGCACAGGCAGTATGAGAGAAATAAAGAGCTTTTTGATCATTAAAGCATGGAGACATGTCACAGTCGAGGCACAACATACAAATACGAACCTCAAATAAGCACAATAAATACTGTTTATTATGGAATGTGTATAAATAGATTGGGGGCAAGAGCTGATGCATCATGGGAGCTGTATGACGATGAGCTACTGATGCGACACACCTGTGAGGGACGGCACTGAGGGCACAAAAAAGAAAAAGGTCGGATATTTTTTAGAGCTGTGTCGAGAGCTGGGAAACAATGCTGTCGTGTCTGAATGTGTTTTTTTGGACGTTTCTGTATGCTGATGTTCAGATCTGAACATGCATCACCTGGCCAATTACCAGATTTTATTTTTTCTACATTTATAGACACATAATGAAGCCTTCTGAGTAGATCTACTGGCACATTTTAAATAACTTCGACTGTCATACTGCAATTTATTCTGACAAGCACAAAGAGAGATGTGTGCTACGTTTCCCATGCATTCTCAAACGCTGATGACAAACTTATTAGATTTTTTACGTAGAAGCAGTTTTTCCCTCTGTGGGAAAACACAAATAAAGCCAAACCAGTGGAAAGCTCAGAATGTATTCATTACCATCCCTCAGCCTGACAAAGTGGAGTAAAGCTGGACTAATGATGGGGCAGAATGTAAATGGGGAAACTGGTCCGCTGAGAGCAGCACGACTGATCTACGAGTTTGCATGTGTTTTGCAAGCTAATATAGCTTAGATAAGCAGACACTTTCCTGGGGACGGAGCTACAGTATAAAGCAGAAGATTAGGGAGCCACGGTTTGTCTGCGAGTGTGACTGAACTTGCCAAATGTGATTTATCAAGATAAATGTGAAGATACCAATACTATGATGAATGAGGAGGGAGAAAAAGCAAAACTCTGAGATTGCTCATTATCTTTAAATATAAGCTCGAGCGCAAGTTTGGACCCTTATGGGGAACGGATATTGTTGCAAAAACTCACAGCTTAACAAAGCACAAAACAAAAACATTCCTAAACTTTCGATTATTCTCCAGGTATTTGAAAGACTTTCTGGACTCACCATTAGACTGTGTTTAAAGCTAAGTCAATAGATAAATGCAACATTTGCAGTCAATCTGTGCTGGACTATTTGCTCGGAGAATTGTTCAATATTTTCTCTGGACCTCAGCTTTCCAATTGTACTTAGAAGTTAAAAGGGGAAACAGGGATTGAGCGGAGGCTTAGTACGGCCTCGCTGCTCATTTTTTCCTCTAAGCTTGGCTGAGCTGTGCTTTCCTCTGGATGCTGCTTCATAAGACACAGACACATTTAGTCATACTGGACATGTAATCGCCTGGACTGTGTAAAATATGTCTTCTTTGCCTTTAAAGTCTCGCTTCTTCTGAATACAAAACAGTGTTTCTCCTTTTGAAAACGATGTTAACGAGATACCAGTGCGGTTTCTTCAGAGGATGAGGCAGGAAATTAGAACTGAAACACATTTTTAAAAATGCCAGAACTCACATAAGCTTTGATTTTCATTAAGGAGAAAAACTACTTAGCTGTCAATTAAGTGTTTTTTCATTCTCTTTGAATACAGGCTGCTGTACAAAAGACAGCTTTTTAAAGGATTTATGTTGTGCAGCTGGCACACGCAAAGCTCCAAAAACCCCACAAGCTTGGATTTAGTAAAGGTGCATAAATCATTTTCTTTTCTTTTGGGAAATGTAGCCTCAAAAATGCTCACTTGTATGTCTTGTTACAGATTTTAAGTAGGCCTACTATGCTTCTCAAGAGGAACTTGATTGCAGTGAGAATCACTGAGATTTTAACCAAGCGCTGTAATTAATTATACTTTGTGGGTGAGTAATCAAGCATTACAGCATCACAATTAAATCACTATATAAAAAGAGTAATGGAACTGTATTTCCTAATGCTGATTTGATAATGAGATGGGTGTGTCCCATGCATATACAAAGCAGTGATTGGTCAAGGGGGAATAATAACTTACAATTTGTCAATCTGTAAATTACTGCCAACTAAATTAATGATTAAGTGCGCAAGTTACTGAAGTAAACATGTGAGCTCCCACGCTCTCTGTACCTCTTAATGTCACTCGCCATCATTAGTCATTTGCTTATCTGACATTTAAATATTTAAATGTCTGCCTCAAGGCTGGCATGTATCGGTCTGAAGAGCCAAAGTGCATTTAAGGGCAGTCTAATATGTTCAGTAAGACTACTGCTGATACTCTGAATTAAGGCCTACCTAGTGGAAATATAGCATGCACAAAATCCACATGCAGTTGGAACACACTACGTAGTATGCAATTATAAACATGTTACGTCTAGCTAGCTAGCCTAACTGAAAAAAACGGTGGCTAGAGACACAGTGGCTTTTTAGCCTCTTACTCTTACTGCCAAACTATGTATCTTAAAACGTCTAAGTAGCATAAGCTAGCTAGCCTGCTACCTACAATTCTGTTGCTACTGTTACAAGAGCTTAATATAATGATGCTAGTGCAGTATGCAGTACCATTTAGAAATGACTAAAATGATGTGTACTGAAGTTTGTATTAGCAAGGTTAACTGAAAAGGATTGTGCTCCATGTCTTTAGCCATTGTTTGAGCCCACGCAGTCCCTTGATTGCCCTGCTGATGTGACAAACTTACATCCTGGACAATCACAATGGGTTTCCATGGATACCACATCTAATTATCATTAAAAAGGGCATATTAGAGAGGAAGGGGAAATGGTGCTTTGAAAAGAAACAGGAAATGCATAAATCCTGTGTAATATCCTAAATAAATAAATGTAAATTGCGATGCGGAAAATGCCTTTTTCTTACATACCGATAGAAGCCTCAAAGTACAAACCTTGATATATGTTTACACTACATTTAAGAATTGTTATATTTTGATCAACTAGATTTTTGGGCTTAATATCTGCCAGCTTGGCCAGGTTTATAGTAAACACCCACTTAGAGTACCTTTCAAAAATACTGCACAAAGGTTCTGGAAACATGCGGCGCCAACAAGATTATGTACACTTTTGAGAAATGTTTACACAGCAGGTACTATGTTTACATCTTTGAAGTTAAGCAGTGAATTAAAAGAAGAAGTTTCCCTCTCTTGTGGCTCTCTCCAATATAGGATTTGAGCAAAAAGCAAAACATGTACCCGTTGGAATGGCTCTGCTGCTGAAAAGCAAACACTTGACTCTGTAATGAAGGGGACATCAAGTGGGCTTATAAAAACAGACATTTGGCTGCATGGAGATTTATTCATAGTGCATATATTGGCATCACATTTCATGAAAAATAGACATATTTGTGCTTTTTCTTTTAAACTATATACTGCATAAAACAAAAAGGAGAAAGTCATCAATAGGGCAATACATAAAGAGATGTCACATTGTCATGATGAAGACAACAACAAAAAGCAAAACTACTTTGAAAAGGCACCAGTTTTCCATTTGAGTGTTTTAGCACAGTTTGCATGATAATAAGAATTTGGTCATAAAGCGAACAGTATTTAAAAAAGAAACTTAGTCGTAAAAATGTAACAATGGCAAGAAATGTAACAGTGGAACCATTTTGGTTTTAGTATTCTTCATATCCATCAAATACATTCAATGTGGGTTCTTATAAATAACATTTAGCACTTTACAGTATATCCCCACTTACAGTGTCCAAACTTATAGCTCCTCCGAAGTGCTTCTCAAAGTATGCTGTGAAATCTCTCAGTCTTGCCCTCTGCTCCTGAGCACCTTCAGTGATGGTTGAGGTAGTGGAGGAGGATTAGTGTTGAGTGCAAAGGCCTCCTCGTACAGTCAAGTAGTTTCTTTGTTCTGGATGAGCAGCAGGCCGGTAGAATCAGCTGTAAGCACCGTGTGTTCGGTTTTGTAGACATTTCGACGAAGGTTCACTTGAGGTTGAGCTAATTTGTGCGGGGTTTGTCCCCGTGCACTGGGGACTCATCCAGGTCTGAACTGGTCAGGCGTCTGTGAGGCGCTGCGGCAGAGGGAAGGAGGAAACAAAACATGATATACTCCTGTCAGTGTATCGCCCAGTCTCAGACCCAAATGTACTATATTCACTGTTAAAGGGATTTTGTATGGTTAGACTGTATGAGGTACTTATCTACAGTTGGTGTATTACCTACAGTGGATGGCAGTTGGCACACCCATTGTTTGGTGAATTCAACAGGAGTTACCGTACAGAAGCTATACAATGTACTACTGTGGTTTAGATCAGTGGTTCCCAACCTGGGGGGTGCAAAGATCGCAGGGGGTGCGCCAGGCCTCAGATGATTTGAGGCCTGGCTTAGACTTTTCTTTTACATATAATTGTAACGCAATACATGATTGTCGCTAAAAGCCTTGTCTCTACATTACAATAAAATATAAAAAATAATTGATTAATTCATTTTAATAAAAATTCAAGTTAGTAGCTATTAAAGGCATAAAAAGACAGAAATGTATACTTTTTTCTTTAATAGAAATGTTTCTTCTGCCCGTAAAGTGTCCAAACCAGGCTTTTCTGGATAAGCACATTTTAAAAAACATTGTCCATGCCGGTTTCAGATGGATTATTTGTCACAGTTGCTCCGATCAGATCGGTCTCCTCCATTTTGTAGATTATTTACTTTTGAATCCACATAAACACATCGTCAAAATCCGGGTTACTTTGAGCATGTGTTTTAAACAGTTTAATCCCTTTGTGAATTGTTTAATTTCTTCATACAGCGGGAATCCAAATGAATTAATCCTGAGTCCAATAACCATCAGTCACTCCAATAGTGCTCCTTAATTACGCTTTCATCCTTCTTTAACAAAACACTTCACATTCATCCAGTTTGTGACAGTAGTTGTAGCATTTTTGAGACTTTGAAACTTAATTACCGCTGTTGCGCCCTGCGCCCCCCTCCCCCCCCCCTGTGTGTGTGCGGGGGGGAACTTCCAACAGGAGTCATTTGGGGGGGCTCTTGGGAAAAAAGGTTGGGAACCCCTGGTTTAGATGATAAGTGCAACCTACATATTGAACCACTTTACCATTCTGTAAGACAGCCCTTACCGACAGTGAACAAAAACATAGCTATGCTATGCGTCACCAGACTCAAGGCACAACAACTGTAATTTTCCTTTGCAAAACACAGGAGGGGTGTTCTATAAGGAAAGATCCAGAGAGCCACGGTTTCTTTGCTTAGAAGGTCGACAAAACAACAAACCCTAATCAAAGATAACTGGTACCTCAAAGGTAGATATCAATTGCCTGTCAACCCAGGCTTTCCTCCTCAGGCTCTCATATAAGTGTGTTGACTCTTCTACCTTATCAATGGATTGACTGCCACAAATCCTGCCTTAAAATAATAGGTTTTCATATAAATGAAAACCTATTCTTTCTCAGATGAGAATCTGTTCTGCTCGTAGATTTAGTATAAACTATAAAGCAGGGGTGCCCACACTTTTTCAGCTTGGGAGCTACTTTTAAAATGACCAAGTCAAAGTGATCTACAGTATCAACAGGGCAGAGTCCTGCACGGGTCTGATTTTCAAGACCCGCTCCTGCCCCGCACCCGCGACGTGCAATACCGAACCCGCCCCGCTACCCGCACATATTGCCAATTAGTTTTGCAACCCGACCCGACCCGTCGGCACAAGATCCGCAACCCGACCCGAACCCGCATATATATGAGCAGTGAAAACGTGCAATTATTAACACACGCAGTTGCATATTTGGCTCAGCGTGGGATGTTGGTTATTTTCTCCATCTAGGATGACACCAAAAGCCTCCCAGACGTTGGATTTCGCTCTTGAGGAAGTGTTATTGAAAATGCTGTATTCTCCGCTAGAGAGCTTCACCTCAGCCATTTCGAATGTGGCGCGCACAGCAGCAGATTGATGCGCTGCAGAGGTTATGATTATGCGCGGTCCCGCGGGGGAGAGGTCTGAGTATTTTAAACATTAAACTAATTTATTATTATTTTAATATATTTATTATGCAATACCCGCGACCCGACCCGCATCATCTTTGTTTTACCCAGAACCGAACCCAGAAAAAAGTGTTTGAAAAAATACCACCCGCGAATCACTTTTTTTTTGCCGATGCAGGACTCTGCTACATGGCCGCCCCGGCCCAAAGTCATGTGGTGAGGCACTGTATGTCGCGAGCGCGCGGGGGGGGGGTGCTAGTGGACTGCGCTTACACTTCAGATGAGGAGGTGAGGCCCCCCTTATACCCTTTCTTTATAAATTGGAAGGCTAACTAGGTAATCAGCTCGCTGGTGATTTGCAGCTGGTGCGTACGTGGTGAACTGCGTGTTTTTTTCTTTTCTTCAATGCCATGCGATCTACCCACACAATGATCAACGTATTGGGCACCCGTGCTATGGAGTGACGCTATTTGAAGCCTAAACTCTGGGCATAAGACCAGGTTAAAATAAAGCAAACTTCATAATACGGACAAATCTGGGTTCAAGGCTCAACATACCTCGCTTACCCACTCATCTTGTTTAGTAGTACACCCCTCTGGTCTATTGCTGCCTAAATCAATTAGTAAGTTTGTTAGTAAATCTGAAATAAGCAAAATCACACAACCAGCAACTTCTATGTTCTGCAGACTAAAATAATATTGTTTTCCAATGGAGTCTGTTAGCTTTGAAGAACAAATAGAAAAAACATTTAATTCCCGATAAAAATACATGTTTGATGGCAAAGGTAAAAATTGCGTTTAGGTGGCTAAATCTATACGCTGAGTATGGATAAGTACTTCATACAATTGGAACTGTGCTTTTATTGGATCTAGTCCATTGCGAGGAGTACCTATATGATAACGCCCTACCGGTTACTGCCAGAGTAGGTATGAATATCTGTGATCATTGTATATGAACACCAGTGTCATATATCCGTAGGTTCTGGCAGCAATAATTGTTAGAGGTAAAACCGACAAAGAGCCACAGAAAGCTCGTTTCTCTCACTCCAACTATCTGTAAGCCGCTTAGGAGAGTGCTACAAGTGATTCTGGCTGTGAGCCACTGGCAGTGAAACAAACAGACACACACCAGAGCCCTGACGGCAAGTTTCAGCTCTGTGTGCCATGTAGAAATACTTAATAGAGAAGTGACAGTGCCTTGAGACTGCCACCGTGAAATGCATCACATATACCAGCCCTATAGGATCTATCGTGCTGTGGAATTCAGCAGTTTTATTTAATTTATTCAGAAGTAAAAACAACGTTTAAAACACTGGGATATAACTTCAAACAACTCAAGGACGCACGGATGCAGAAAAACAGGCAATAGATAAGCTGTCAGAACACAAGTTGTGTAGCTTCAGAGTATAAATACTCACAGGGTGTGTCAGGTCTCAGCGTGCTGCTAAGGAAGGTGCTGGGCCCTTTGATAGAGGAAGAAAGAGCCGCCAGCCTCAGGCTCCTGGAGGTCGCGTCCAGCTTCTCCTCCTGCAGGACAACAGGACAGCAACAACACTGAAGCTACAGCTGTAGAGCACATTCAACACGACAATGTGGAAAATACACCCTATTATACACTGAACAAAAATATAAATGCAACACTTTTGTTTTTGCTCGCATTTTTCATGAGATGAACTCAAAGATCTAAAACATTTTCTATATACACAAAATAACCATTTCTCTCAAATATTGTTCACAAATCTGAAAAAATCTGTGATAGTGAGCACTTCTCCTTTGCCGAGATAATCCATCCCACCTCACAGGTGTGGCATATCAAGACGCTGATTAGACAGCATGATTATTGCACAGGTGTGCCTTAGGCTGGTCACAATAAAAGGCCACTCTGAAATGTTCAGTTTTATCACAAAGCACAATGCCACAGATGTCGCAAGTTTTGAGGGAGCGTGCAATTGGCATGCTGACAGCAGGAATGTCCACCAGAGCTGTTGCCCGTGAATTGAATGTTCATTTATCTACCATAAGCCGTCTCCAAAGGCGTATCAGAGAATTTGGCAGTACATCCAACCGGCCTCACAACCGCAGACCACGTGTAACCACACCAGCCCAGGACCTCCACATCCAGCATGTTCACCTCCAAGATCGTCTGAGACCAGCCACTCGGACAGCTGCTGCAACAATCGGTTTGCATAACCAAAGAATTTCTGCACAAACTGTCAGAAACCGTCTCAGGGAAGCTCATCTGCATGCTCGTCGTCCTCATCGGGGTCTCGACCTGACTCCGGTTCATCGTCGTAACCGACTTGAGTGGGCAAATGCTCACATTCGATGGCGTCTGGCACGTTGGAGAGGTGTTCTCTTCACGGATGAATCCCGGTTTTCACTGTTCAGGGCAGATGGCAGACAGCGTGTGTGGCGTCGTGTGGGTGAGCGGTTTTCTGATGTCAATGTTGTGAATCGAGTGGCCCATGGTGGGGGTGGGGTTATGGTAGGGGCAGGCGTATGTTATGGACGACGAACACAGGTGCATTTTATTGATGGCATTGAGAATGCACAGAGATACCGTGACGAGATCCTGAAGCCCATTGTTGTGCCATTCATCCACGACCATCACCTCATGTTGCAGCATGATAATGCACGGCCCCATGTTGCAAGGATCTGTACACAATTCCTGGAGGCTGAAAACATCCCAGTTCTTGCATGGCCAGCATACTCACCGGACATGTCACCCATTGAGCATGTTTGGGATGCTCTGGATCGGCGTATACGACAGCGTGTTCCAGTTCCTGCCAATATCCAGCAACTTGGCACAGCCATTGAAGAGGAGTGGACCAACATTCCACAGGCCACAATCAACAACCTGATCAACTCTATGCGAAGGAGATGTGTTGCACTGCGTGAGGCAAATGGTGGTCACACCAGATACTGACTGGTTTTCGGACCCCCCCAGACCCCCCCCAATAAAGCAAAAATGCACGTTTCAGAGTGGCCTTTTATTGTGGCCAGCCTAAGGCACACCTGTGCAATAATCATGCTGTCTAATCAGCATCTTGAAATGCCACACCTGTGAGGTGGGATGGATTATCTCGGCAAAGGAGAAGTGCTCACTATCACAGATTTTTTCAGATTTGTGAACAATATTTGAGAGAAATGGTTATTTTGTGTATATAGAAAATGTTTTAGATCTTTGAGTTCATCTCATGAAAAATGGGAGCAAAAACAAAAGTGTTGCATTTATATTTTTGTTCAGTGTATGTAAAGCTGTTTAGTTTTAGTAGGTAAAGCCTACTTTGGTTATTGAAGACTTTAAATGGCACTTTTAAATGGACCTACACATACTTGCCTAGACTAAAACATCTTGACAATTATTGCCATGCAATCTTGAACATTCATGGTCCCCAGGGGATGAAGCCTAATTGCTTTGGAGAGCTTCTAACTTAATTTGGAGCCCATCTACTAAAGTTATTCATCAAATAAAATATGTCTAGGTCTACTCGATAAATGGAACACAATTGTGTACAGACATCTTGTTGGCTAGCATAATGACTTTGGAGATCCCCTGACTTTTCCTCTGGGACCACCAGGAGTTTCACATCTGCGATTTTTTCTGAAATGTCTCAACAACCATTGGACTGGATTATAAAGACGCTTGGGAAACGCATTCATGCCCACCTCAGTATGAACTTAAAGAACTATGGTGATCCCTTAACCTTGTATCTAGCGCCACCATCAAGTGTTTTTTTTTAATTACTAATGTTACGAAAACGTTATGACCATATACCTGCAAGACAAATAACATTCCCAAAGCATGCTCAACATATATTTGCTAATTAATGTTAGCATTGTCATTGTCTCCAGATGCTGTTGTTAGCATTTAACTCAAAGCACCATAGCACAGCAGTGTCTAGTTACAGCCTCGCAGAGCTGCTAGCATAGCGTGATGTGGGTCAGAACATGTACTTCTTAGTAATATAGGAAATTGCCATCTTGGCTGCTGTAATAGCATTTAACCCAGGATGTGATGCTAAAAAAGCGTCTTTGAGCACCTGTAAAAGCGCTAACAAATTAAATCTATTATTATTATTATTATTATTAAAAAGATTTAAAAAGTGGAATGAAACAAACATTAGTGAGTTTAAAAACCATCCATCAATGATTGATGAAAAGCTGACTGTTGATCCTAAATGTTAGTGACAGACCAACTGAGGATGAAGCCACAGCTCTACGGCTATGGGCACATGTCAAAATAAAATGAACAGAACAACCAGTAGTGTGAAGAGCTCTGTATAATGTGTGCATAGTATTACACTTTGCAGAGCACAGGCTACACACAATTACATTTCAAAGTACCTTAACATGAGGGTTGTGTGCCAGATTTGTCTGCCTAAAAAAGAGCTTTTCAGAATTATAAAATATTCGGTTTTGGAATTGAGTGACTTGCGTCCTCACGTGTATAATACAAATCTAATTTTACTGACACGTTTTGCCTGCAAACATTAACGTCCGAGCATGAATAAGACATCTTTCAATATTTAGTTATTCTCTTGCAATGCTCGCCAAGTTGCTGCTGCCTCTTGAAAATGTGACACTTATTACAGATTTATTTGTATCCTGTATTTATAGAGCATTACCATTACAGATGTCATTCAATGGCAGGACAAGCACTGAGGCAGAACATAATTCTGTCTAAATGGAGCTTTACAAGCTGGTGTTTACAGCAGACAGACACTCTTACATGCAGTAGAAGCTGTTTGTGTTGCTGGCATTGATGATTGTGATCAAGATGGAACTCTTGTGAAGACATCCCACCCATCCTTTTTCCTTAAACAAACCCCGGGTGGGCAGCGGCTATTAAACTAATGCGATCTCCACTTATCACTAAACACGGAAGTCATTTGGCAAACCAACGGGGTAATCTGGCAGATTAAAAGCATTTAGAAAGTGACTGTATGGCTGTTTAGGGGAGATTGCAAACTGCTGATGGCCATCAGCTGTCAACAGTGATGTCTTGATGTCTCCATATAGCACAGAAGATGACTGTAGCAAAACTAGCAATCAACGGAGACTGGTAAAATGTACTTTGAGTGAACATGTATGCCACTGCTTGAGCTTGTCCCACTCCGTCCATTCATGATGAATTACCAGCATGTGGAATTATTCATTTATTCATACAAGTTGCAAATTACATGTAGGTGCAATGCACACACTGGCAGTGTTGTGGGCGAGCTAGCTTCATAAATGACTCTCAAAGTCAGACTACCCTTATCCTAACGGCTGCTGTTTGAACAAAGCACCGCAATTACCGACAGAAATAGAAAAAGAGTGGGTTGTTGTTTTGGCAGTGCGGGCTCTCGTAAGGCATTATGAAGCTCGTTTTTCCAGAGTACAGTATTGCACCTGTCCGTGTGTGTGAGTGTTTCATACTCTGTACTCCTGGATTCTGCATTTGGACTCGTCCAGCTGGTGCTGCAGGTCCCACACGATCTCTTTGTACTTGCTGTAGCGCTGCTCCACCATCTCCCTCTGCCGCTGGGACTCCTGTTGGCACAAAATGGAGGTTGGGTCATTATAGCCTACCAGAAAAAAAAACATGTCTTTAATAAGGCCAAAGGGACAAAAAATGGAGCATCCAAAAGTCTTAAGCCTCGTTTATAGCAGAAGAGAAACACTGACATGAACATGTGTCTAAAATGTTTGTCTCCAAGGTTGGTAATTTGAGGGAAATAAAACGAAGAACATCCTAACCGCTGTATTTAATTAAAAAGAAAATGATTCTACCTCCAAATCTTTGAAGTTCTCCATCAGACATTGTTTCTCTGGGAATGACTCCAAGTGGTCCAGGGCTGCTCTTGTGTTCTGTAAATCACACACACAGAAAATCAGTTTCCTGGTTGGTGTGACATATTAAAGGGGCCCTATTATGCTCATGTCAGGTTCATGTTTGTATTTTGTGTCTCTATTCTGACAAAAAGCTCTTTATTTTTCTCATACTGCCTGTGCTGCAGCAGTTTTTTTCACCCTCTGTCTGAAACCAGAGCCCAATCTGCTTTGAATGGTTAGCTGGCCTAATTAGCTGTTGTGATTGGTCGACGGTTTAGAGATGTCCCACCATTAGCCTATAACGTACAATGTTTTGGAGTTCAAGCCAATAGAAGCGTGAGTGTTACATAGTGATGTCACGGAAGTTACTGAAGTAAACAAACTCCCTCTGGTGGGAACTTTGAGATTTTCATCAGGTGTGCCCAAACTGCGGCCCGTGGTCCAATTTGAATTGGCCCGCAGCAAATTCTAAAAATATAATGAAATATGGCCGATGCATGGAGCTTGGGCTTTTCTTATATTGTACTTCTTAAATATATGTCAAGATATATTAAAAAGTATTCATTGTTGTTGTTATGTCAGTAATATAGGCAGTGTTCTTTCCTAAAGCATATTCAATTATCCAAAATAATTTGCCTAATTGATTTTGCTAACTTATAATTTAACTTATGAGGCAATATACCCTTTAAGCAATTGATATGCAAACGGTTACGAAAATGTCTAACTGTAAATAGGTTTAACTGAGATCAATACCCGTCAGTACAAATGATCATAGGCATTTGTGCTAATCATTCAATCAAAAACATTGCTGATGTAATGTATCTGGAAGTGATTATCTGAATGAGAAGTAAACAAAGACGACTTCTAAGGATAGGCATGATGATGTTATTCTGCTATAGCTTAAAAAAATAAAGTAAAGACTCCCAAAATCGTAAATGAGCATGTAAGGGACAAGCGAAAACAACTAAATAGCGAATATAAAAAACTGGGTCCACATTCTAATTAAATGGCTCCCACTTTTCCTCGTTCCTAAGCACTTCTCACTAATGGCCGAGGAAAAGATGAAAAAGAGTAGCGATGAGGGAATAATCCATGAAACAAACAGTTAGTGAGAGGAGATGTCATTCCCAGTCAAAAGTCACATGCTGAAGGCTGCTTTGGATCAGCTGTCCGTGGGCTCTAACTGCTCTGTGGTGGATACTGATGCCTTTGTGTTAAGATGATGGGTACCCAAACAACAATGGTGCACAGCTGATGCTGTAACCACTGTTATATATTCTGTATGTCCTCCCACATGACAAAACGGGAAATAATACCATTAATTGACACACATATGCACTATAAACCTGAATTTAGACAGATTAAGCACATTTCTAAACATATTACATCCTTTGCAAAGACACTTTATTTATAATAATTTTCAAAATGCCATGATTTTTCTGACACCCACAGAAACTCAGATCTTAATACTGCAAATGCATCAGCTGTATCACTGGGCCAGAGCCTCAGTAACCTTGTCTTATCTCACTGACGGATGACTCACTTTACGTAACTAAATAAAGTGATTTAACAGTCATTTATTTCAGAGTTTATCTTATAAAGAAATTAACAAATAATTTTTTTTTAAAACAAAGGAAACTAACATAATTGTTAAAACTCAAGGAAAAATGCAAAAAAATTAAAATAACTTTTGTTTATAATGAAACTCCACAGGCCACCTTTAATACAACACTTGTGTGTCAGGCAATAGCCTCTTCCTAGCTCTAAAGCTTTGCCATATGGAGAATATTAAAGGTGGGGTAGGTCATTCACTTCAGAAACACTTGTTATATTCCATGGAATGCTCTTAACATCCCGATAGCAATGAATACATTAAATGCTTTAACGATAAATATATATAAAAAAAATTCATCTGTGGAAGCTGTAGTACTGTAAAAAGCTCGACCAATCATCTGAGCCGGCCCGGCTAAAGTAACTGGATGGCCTACCTGCCTGTCAGCCTTCCATCTCGTGCACAAACTTATCTCGTGCCCTCATTGGTCATGTGCGCGTTCGTGTGTGTTGGAGGAGGGGCTCTGGAAGGAAGTGGCAGATTTTTTTCGGCTTTGTATTTTCAAATTCTAGCGCACTCGAGCTGGTTTCTCCAAAATTACCTACCCTACCTTTAAGTGATTAAACTAAGGATATAGATAACATTTCTAAAAGTTGAGAAAAATTTAGAGGTATGATCGGTTTTTAACCACTTGGCTACCAGGACCTGAACAATTCATATTTTTGAGGCAATATTGGTGCGTTCCTCCTGCTATTACTGATACATTTTCCTATTTAAGCCTTCAAGCTAACAAACATTATGTCATAGAGCTGGACCAATTCAAAAGCTAATTGAGGACTTTTGTTACAACACACTCAGCCTAATCTGTGATTACGTAACCACACTCCAGTCTATTCATCCCACTCCTGTATGTTTCAATAGCCCTCCTATTCAGATGGAGCATTTAAGCCTGGTTGTTTAAGGCGTCATGCTGATGCTACACTGAGACCCCGGCCACACGAGGACGAAAACGGCTAAACGCATAGGATTAACGCAAACGCAAAACAAGCTTCCGTCCACACGCAATAGTTATCCGGATAGTGTCTGCCCACACGAGACCGCTCCGTTTAGCTCCAACCGCTGGAGAAGCTGCAGTACATATGCAGGAGCCTGTACGTGGCGCTGTAACTTCCTCCACAAAAGCAGCGAAGAAGCATGGTTGTCATGGTTGCCCTTCTGTTTATTCTCCGCGGTGGGAGCCGAGGGAACCGGGCAGAGTTTCTCGCCAGTCAACGTGTATTAAAGTTGAAATCTTCCGACAAAATTATAAAAGTGCCGGTCAAATGTCTTCTTTGTTATTTATTGAGCTTTAAAACAAATGAATAACGACTCTATATAATATAATAATAAAATACACGGAGCCTCTCTTTTCCCTCCCTCTCTTCGGACAGCGCGCCAGTGTCTGTTTCATGCAGCAGCTGATCCAGTAATGAGTGACTCGGCCGACAGTAAAAATTAGGTAGTTTGAGAGGTAATAAATAAAATAGCTAAGGGTGATGATCTGACTTGAAGTGTGTGTTTTACTCCGTTCACCGCCGCATCACAGCAGGAGGAGCTGCAGGTGAGCAGAGCTTCGTGTCTCCGTCCTGTCAGATTAGACTTCACTCGCGTTTATGTCCATATTGAGAGAAAGATAAATAATCTGAATTCAGTGTGCAGTTTACTTTGACGCGGGGGTGAGCAGCAGAGGTGGGGAGAGGCGGGGCTATTGCCTCATCATTATCAGAAAATGATCGTATAGGGCGTACACACGGAGCCGTTGGACCCCCCAGAGCGTTGCATATGCCGTTCTATCCACATTGGGACCCGTTATCGTTTCCTCAGTCGTTTAGTGCCGTATTCGGTCGTCCTAGTGTGGCCGAATGGTCTATATGACACTAAACAGTAACACAAACGGCCATTTTCGTCCTCGTGTGGCCGGGGCATGAATAGCACACTGAGATACAAGTGGTCCCCCCCACCCAAATTGATCCCCACCACTATGGCCGAACAAAGGGTGGGTCGATCATCCTGCCGCTGTGACGTTGCGGTAAGCAGAAAATGATTTGTCCGAGGTACTTCCTCTTCTTTGACACGACAGCTAATTGAAGGGTTAAGAAGGTTAAGGGTGTCACATAATTGTGATTGATGGACAGCGTGTGTCAGATACTTTTATTTATGTATTCTCTTCAAGAGAGTGAGAAAGAGCTCGGGTCAATAGAAGCGTTCTGTGGTGCTAAGTTATTCGGTGTAATAGCTTATTATGGATGTTTGGTGAACTTTAGCAGCTTAGATGGTGAGGTCAATACTGTATAGTACAGCTCGGTTATTAACCCCATCAGCGTGACTCGGGATGATTAACGGAGCACCGGGCCTTGACTGAGTGAGTTCTCACCCTGTGTTAGCCTCTATGGGTTGCTAAACAAACACAGCCTTACATTAACCTGCCTACACAGCTGCATCGAGTCATGCTGATTTAATTTAACACCTCAAGCTTTCTAAACCTTAATATACACACTGACTTTTTCTTAACTGCATACATTACTTTGATAAAAATAGATAGAACTTTACCATCTCCAGATCCAATACACCTTCCTGTAAAGACACAAGCACAGCAATATTACTTCATATGCATATATAAAATTAAGTAGGGACACTCTTCCATGTCTTTAATGCATTATGTACATACTTATAGTCGGGTTAAGTATCTTGCCCCTTGGCACTGCGACATGTGGACTGCAGGGGTGGAGATCAAATAACTGACCATCTGATTGGTAGATGACCATTTAACCCTGAGCCACAGCCTCCCCTTTAAATATATAATGTGTTATATCCTATGGTTATATCCGGGGCCATCGGGAGGACCGGGAGGGTGTGTGTATGTGTGGCGCGAGCGAGCGAGAGAGAGACCTTACGTGTATTGTTGTTGTTAGTATCTGGTGCTAGCTAGCTGCGCTAACGGATATAACGAGCTGTTCCAATGAAAACAGAGGAGCGACATTTCGCCAACAACTGCGCCGAGCACTTGACTTAAGCAGGTAGCCAGACAGTGGGACATTGTACGAAAAGTCAGCACACTCAGCACGGATAGTGCGCGCAACATGATTGCAGCGTCCAGGCAGCTCCCGTTCGAGCATATGCCTTGAGTTGCACGCACACACACACACACACACACACACACACACACACACACACACACACACACACACACACACACACACACACACACACACACACACACACACACACACACACACACACACACACACACACACACACACACACACACACACACACACACACACACACACACACACACACACACACACACACACACACACACACCACACACACACACACACACACACACACACACACACACACACACCACACACACACACACACACACACACACACACACACACACACACACACACACACACACACACACACCACACACACACACACACACACACACACACACACACACACACACACACACACACCACACACACACACACACACACACACACACACACACACACACACACACACACACACACACACACACACACACACACACACACACACACACACACACACACACACACACACACACACACACACACCATTTTTATTTATTATTTTATTATATCTCTCTTATCCGTTGTATGCACTCCTGCATACTGACCGCCATTAAAACCAGAGACAAAAAATGCTCTGAGTTTCATAAAAGTCAGTCAATGCTTTCCAAAAGCACGAGCAGTGAACTCCAGGCCCACGTGACTGAACTCAAAATTGAAAGAAACAGACTAAGAAATGACGTAAGCTCCATGATCAAAACTGCCAAAAAGAATTTCATCAATGTCAAAACTGAGGAAAACAAAAATAAACCCCGTGAACTTTGGAAATTACTCAATAACCAGCTTGGCTGCAGTAAAAAACTCAAAATGAGATTTTCTAACTTAAACATAAAGACAGATAACAGGCTCATCACAGACAAACTGGATGTGGCCAAGTACTTGAACATTTTTTTCACAAACATAGCCACAACTCTTGTAAATAAATTACCCTCCCACTCAGGGCTTTTTGGAGTAGATCACATCATGACCTACTACAAATACCTAGGGGTACGCAAAGATGATTTCAGTCTAGCAAGGGTAACAACAGCAGAGGTACTCATTAAACTGAGCGCCCTCCAACCTAACAAGGCCACTGGCCACGACAATATCCCCTCCAAATTCCTCAGAGACACAGCAACCGCCATCTCACCAGTCATAGCTCACATAATTAACCTCTCCATAAAACAGGGAAAAGTACCCAAAGACTTCAAAATTGCAAGAGTAACCCCCCTGCACAAAAAGGGCAGCAAATTGGACCCAGGCAACTACCGCCCTGTTTCTATACTTACCTCCATCTCGAAAGTCATGGAAAAAATAGTATATGAACAGGTCGAAAAGTACCTCGCGGAAAATAAACTAATCTATGAATTTCAATCTGGCTTTAGAACATCCCACTCCACTGACACATGCCTTCTTTATTTGAGCGACCACATCAAACAAGAGGTGGACGAGGGCAAGTACTGCGGCATGGTGATGCTGGACCTACAAAAGGCTTTCGACACTGTCAATCACCCCATTCTGATTGACAAGCTAAAAGCAATTGGTTTTGATAAACTATCGGTGAGCTGGATGCAATCCTACCTGGAGGGGAGAGAACAGATGGTGGAGGTAAACGGTACTCTGTCCCCCCCCCTCCCAGTGAGCTGTGGTGTTCCACAAGGAAGCATATTAGGTCCGTTACTGTTCCTAATTTATGTAAATGACATGTCATCAGCATGTGACTGCAACTTGTTCCTGTTCGCGGACGACTCAGCCCTGCTGGTCTCCGACAGGAACAGGTTGCAGGTTGAAAAAACCCTCAGCTCCGAGCTCGGCAGAATCTGCACCTGGCTCGCCGATAATAAATTATCATTACACCTGGGTAAAACAGAGTCCATTCTCTTCGGTTCGAAACATAATCTCAGCAAATCCGACGACTTCTCAGTTGCAGTGGGCGACATTATTGTCACAAGTAAGAAGGAAATTACATACCTAGGATCTATTCTTGAGGCAAACCTCTCCTGTGACAAAATGGCATCCAATGTAATAAAAAAAGTCAATCAAAGAACTAGATTCCTATACCGGATCTCCTCTCTGGTAAACAAAAACACCCTGAAAACTCTGGCAGGAGCACTCATTCAAGGGTACTATGACTATGCTTGCACGTCATGGTACCATAGCACCTCCAAGGCGCTAAAAATAAAACTTCAAACATCGCAAAATAAACTGGTCAGACTACTGCTTGACCTTTCATCTAGAACCCACCTCACCTCTGCCCACTTTGACAACCTAGGATGGCTTAGAAGTAGACGAACAGAGTACAGCTACTTGCAATGGGGCCTGGTCTACAAGATCCACTACACCTCTATGGTACCCATGTACATGTCAAAATTCTTCCCAAAGGTCAAGGAATACCATGATCATAACACCAGAGGGAGCTCCACAAATCATGTGAAACCCAGATTTGGCACAAAAAAGGGGGAATACACGTTTCGCAATTATGCCACATCAAGGTGGAACGCTCTTCCCACAACTGTAAAGGAAAGTAAAACTATACTTACCTTCAAAACCTCTCTTAAAGAGCACCTTCGGGGGAGAGCATTGCAAAACTGGCCCCGGTAATGGTACAAATCTCAACCTGTCGTTCAATGGACAGCTTCCCCCCCCCCCCATCTATGTATATACTCGCATTTTAGACTCTGTTACTAACTGTATATCTGTAGACTTGGTATGTCTTAAATGTCCGGTTAGGATGTATTAGAACAAAATCTAAAATGAAAATTGTAAACAAGCAATCTGTATGTAAAAAACCACCTGTATGTAAATTGTAAATAAGCCATCTGTATGTCAAATATGTCTTATATGTCTTAAATGATATGATGAATTGGAAATGGGGGACCCTGATGTAAACAAGACGAAAGTCTTTCTCTGGTCTGCATCCCATTAACAATTGTATGTTTTGAGCTGTACTGTACTGTACCCAATATACAAGCTGTTAATAAACTTTTCAATCAATCAATCAATCAATCAGAGAGGTTCCAGGTTGAATTGAGGCGAATATTTGTAATGTTCAGAGGTTGTTGTGTTTAATATTCATGAGAATATTTGTCATTGTTCAAATGATAATAAACATTAGCATAAAGCATATTTGTCCACTCATATGTTGATAAGAGTATTAAAAACTTGAAAAATATTCCTCTAAGGAACATTTAGAACAGATAAAAAATGTGCGATTCATTTGCGATTAATCGCGATTAAATATTTTAATCGACTGACAGCCCTAATTGCAACCAATAGTTAACAAGGGAAGGAAATGAAGGCGCTGGGGAGTGTGTAGCTCACAACAGGCTTCTTATCACACACACAAAGACAAGGCGCTCCCGCCGCTCATCCCGCTCCTGACTGATGTTCCCTCACTAACGATGCATAAGTGATGCTATGCCTCTTATCTGCCACTCGAACGCACACCTGCCGGCTGCCTCTAACGTGTTGATGCTTTTCTATGAAGAGTACTTTAAAAAAAAATATGTCAGCCCACCCTCCCTTTTCCCTCACTCGTTTACATCCCTCAGTCACTCTGCCTTCCCTCTCTACACGTCTCTCTCCACATCCGTCATAATTAAAAGCTCGGCCGGGTTTGAGACGGCTGATTAATTGCATGCGAGCTCTGGCAGGTCCCATCATGCAGCCGCAGATGGGACCGTGAATGCAACACGGAGGTACAGACAGACGTTGGGAAGGAACGAATGCTAAGCGGGCATTTCAGTGTGTGTGAGAGTATTGCTGTGTCTCAACGCGGATTCTCTACTTCGTACAGTGAACACTTGCGCAGTGTTTGAAAAGTGGTGCAGGAATGAGTCTTAAACCTGAAATTGACTTAGCATTTGACCACTTCCGGGTCCGTAGTCTCGAAGTCAACTGTATTTTTAAAGTGTTTTGAAAATGTTACACTGTTCATTATTTGAATTTTGCTTTTTACTTCCGGGATTGCAGTTACGATTTTGAAAATAATACAAATGTTGTAATATGTGGAGATTACCCTGCTGAACAAAAACACGTCACTATGATAAATGTGTTTGTCACAGATCTTATTTTCTTCAATATTCCAAAATCCAATGTTAAATCCCATTGCTTTTTGTCGAGGGTGCGCTTGCTACGCTATTCCAGGTTGGCTTACAAAAATACGTCATCTCCACACCACTGTATCACACCCTGTAGCTCAAATCGCATGTTTCGCTCCTTTCCTGGAAGTGACGATCAGCGCTGTTAACCAGCTAGATCGCTAGCAACAATTTGATCGCAGTAGCCAGCCATAACAGACTGCTCAATTAACCCAATAAAATGAATGGTGGCTTGTTTTCAACACCAATATACGTTCAATAAATACTGAAAGAAACGCTTGTTTAACTTTTATTTGTATAGTGCTGTGATCACAGGAGCAAACACACTTCCGTTTTGCAGCCAAGGCGCTGATTGTTGAGTGAGATTAGTGTCCAGCTTTTCCAATGTTTAACCATACAGATTCTGCATTGGCAATACCTCCCATTGGGATGCACTTAACAACGCAAATGTTAGTACAGAGGTATGAGAATTGAGACGCAGCATATGTGTTTTGTTTAACGGTGAGCAAAGGGTCGATGAAGCACTGGGGGCTAGTGTGATGCAGACGAGGTGAGTTGGTGGCACGCCAAGTGAAGATGCTGCGGTGTTGAAAGACAGAGACAAGGCCTCTGGTGGCTTTTAAACTCCAAGGCCTGGTGTCTGCAGTAATTAGCTACTTGTCCAAGCACGGCTGCGAGCAGTCTCTCAAGCGCACGGCTGTTTGTACTAATGTTTGGAGCACTGCATCACAGGACTCAGCCCAGCAGTTACTCAGAAACATCCCAAAAGATATGCAAAACACAATTTGAAGGCAATGTGGTATATAAATAAAAATAGTACCAGCTGTTTCTTTTTGGCAGCACAGTAGAAATGAGGCCAGCTGGATATTTAAAATCTGTTTAGGGTGCAGATTTACAGACACAAACAAATAGGGATTAATATAGAGCAGAAAAGCGAACCTGAAGGCTCCGCATTTCTTCCTCCTTCCTGCGACTCCTGTCCAACAGCTCTGAAACAAAGAAGAGTCAAGTTTATTTCCTGTCCAAGTATTGACATAGGATTCAATAAAAGGTGCATGATTGATTTTAGCAGCAGCAGCCGGCCAGCTAACCAATCAGAGCAGATTGTTAAAAATGTCTGGTTTCAGACAGAGGGTGAAAAGAGGTGCTACAGCACAGGCAGTATGAGAGAAATAAAGACCTTTTGGAATATTGAAGGTGGGGTAGGTAAGTTTGAGAAACCGGCTCGAGATACACTTTGGTTATATTCCATGGAATGCTCTCAACATCCCGATAGCAATGAATATCTGAAGTGTTTTGACAACAAATCCATAAAAATCAGTGGAAGCCGTGGCGCTGTAAAAAGCACGACCAATCATTTTAGCCGGCCTGGCTAAAATAACTGGATGGCCTACCTGCCTGTCAGCCTTCCATCTCGTGCACAAACTTATCTTGTGCCCTCATTGGTCATGTGCACGTTCGTGTGTGTTGGAGGAGGGGCTCTGTAAGGAAGTGGCAGATTTTTTCGGGCTGTGTATTTTCAAATTCTAGCGCACTCGAGCCGGTTTCTCCAAGATTACCTACCCCACCTTTAAAGCATGGAGACATGTCACAGTAGAAGAAGGAAAAACAAATATGAACCTGAAAGTGAGCTAAACATGGCCCCTTTAAATTACATGGGTGAGGATCAGGGTCAACTTGATAGGAACATCCCAAAATGATCAGTTTTACCAATTTCTATCAATGTGGTAGGAAAAAAAGATTTATAAATCAGAATCATCAGAATACTTTATTCATCAATTGGATTTTGTGATAGTAATTACAATTTAGAAAACAATGTAATACAAATATTTATATGAACATAAGAGGTTCAAGTAAGTGGAATAACATTTAAATATTTATATAAATATAAACAAATATGTTATTGCCTTGTAAATATTTATATACATGTATTTTTAATTCACTTAACATTGCAGCATACCATCACAAGAATAGCAGTGCCTTGGTCATGTAATGAATGCTACACATCCCATTATGTTACAATGCAAACACAGTTTGCTTCTAGTGGATTCTATTTGCCTGAACAGGTGGAGAGAGAAACTCTGCCTGTGTTTGTTGTTGATTGCAACAACAAATTGTTTTTAATGACAATCACTGGCTGTTTGCTTAATGAGGTGTTGAATCAAATGAATAACTCTCATTTCAGTTAGCAGTAGAGTCTTACTTTTTATTTAACCTTTATTTAACCAGATAAAAGCATTGAGATAGAAATTCATTTGCAATGCTGACCTAGCCAAGAAGGCAGCAACGTTACACATAACACAAAACACAAACATATAAAATACAGAGAACATAACTAAGAAAACAAAAGACAAAAAAGCAGTCACTACATTGAGCACATTAGGACAGTAAGAAAGGTGCACTACTTATTACTGCAAGAGCAGCTGGTCGTAAGGACTTCAATTTAAAACATGCTATAGGGACAAGTGCCCTCAGTTTTTTGATTGAAGGCATTCCAAGACCAAGGACCATAATAAAAAAGACTCCTTTTTCCAGCCTCAGTCCGCACAGCAGGAACCTGGAACCGTATCCAGGCACTGGATCTAAGGTCACAAACTGGGGCAAATCTGGCACATATGTACAGTGGAAGCTTACCTAAAGTGGCTTTACACATGAATAAAAACCAATGCTGCATCCTACGCATAGTAAGTGAGGACCATCCAGTTAGGCTATACAGTTTGCAATGATAAGTCCTATAGGGTGCATTTGATATATAACGCAGTGCAGCATGGTAGAGTGGGTCAAGTTTGGCCAAAACAGTGGGACAGGCAAATCTATAAATGGTATCACCGTAGTCCAGCTGGGACAGGAATAAGCCAGAGACCAACCTTTTACGGGACTTAGCAAATGTCACAATATTTACTCATGTTTTCTCCGATCCGCATTATTCCTGTCGAGCTTTTTGCTTTGTGTTTTTTTTAATTATTATTGTGTTTTAATAAAAAGATGGCAACTCATTATGGAACTAAGAAAAAAAGAAAGAAAATGTTCAAAAACCTTTTGATGTGTATGAATCATCGTCAAATATAATCATAGAGAATTATTCTCCCAATAAAGAATACTTATTGTGCCAACTTCTGTTTTGATTTTGGATTAGTGTTTTGCTTAAAATAACGGATGCTGCATTCAATGCCGGCTTTAAACATGGCTGAAAAGAAAACAGAAATAAATATTTCCTCATGTGATAGCTCTCTACTAACACATGCAAAATAAGATAATGATGTTTTAGAAGTAGCCCTACATTGCACGTAGCCATGTGACCATGACGCAGTTTTTTTTTTGGCTAACTTTTTACTTCTGCCGATTCCATTTACTCTCCAAAATTCATTAATAATATGACGGGATTATCCTGCTGAAAAAAACTGCAAGTATTACAAACATGCGTTTTCCAAATCAAATCCCATTGCTTTTTGTCGAGGGAGCCCTTGCTAGCTTCCAGGTGGGACTACAAAAATGTGTCACCCTTCACCACTCTATAACGTCCTGTTGAATTATGAACGTAGATATCTATTAATGTGGGTTTGCCTAAGATCTTATTTTCTGCAGTACTCCCAAATCCAATTTTAAAATGTTTTTTCCAGGGAGCCCTTGCTCTGCTAACTTCTGGGTTGGCCTACACAAAGACTCATCACTGCACCACTCTATAAACACAGGAGAAACACTAAGCAACTACTACTGAGAAGCTAGTCCAAGCACACATTTATATCAAATAACCAGATAATTTAGCTGTTGTGAGCCCAACTCTTATGTCTTATAACTAAAGAGAGTCCTGGCAGTGAACTGTGTTTCCTAAGGGGTGTATCAACGTATGGATAATCTAAAATTTCTAAATGGTTCAATGCTACCACAATAGCCCAAAAAATTAAATAAATACTGGCGAGTTCTACTGGACTAGCACATTCTGCCATCTTCCGCTCCATGTCTCACTACCCCTCTCTGTAGTCTCACCGGGTCTTTCAACTCTCTTAATGGAACACAAATTAGACCCATTTCACTGCATTGTTCAAATGAAGCGCTAAAAAACAAGTTGTTCTTCCTCTGGCAGTTTCAGCTCATTAGGAGAAACTCAGTGAAAGAAATTGGGAGTGGGGAAGTGGAAAACAAGTAAATTGTCTCCAGAAGTCAGAAAGTTCACACACATTAGGATGTTTCCTAAAACATTTGTCATCATAAACAGACATGCCAGTGTGCATGATACTGAAAAAAACCAATGCATCAGATACAGAGCAACAGCCATTTTAACAAGCATCCGTAAGCACACAACACACAGCAACGACTTGGTGACAAGAAGCATTCAGTAATATGCAGACAGTTAATCAGTAATTGCTTTAATGAGGTTGTCATTTAATGAAAATAGAAAAACAGTGGTTTCGTTTCAATCAAATTGACTGTCAAAGAGTCAAGAGCCGCGTTCACACCGCAGTACATTTCCCACTTTAGTTCCGATATAGTTCCGAAATGTCTCGTTCACACCAAAAAGAGCCGGAACTCAAATGAGTTCATCTGAACCTTTTTTTACCCCCTGCTAAAGAGCAGGGACTTTCGTGGGAGAAAAAGGTTCCTATGTCTGATTGGCTGGGCGGATTGCAAACCACGCCCGTAAAACTCCCAAAAAGTTTTGTGAAGCCGCCATTTTATTATCCTCGCATTAGCATTATTAGCATTAGCTCAGCGCACAAACGCAGAGAGACTAACTTATGGCAACACAAAATAAAACATGGGAGCGGTGGAGATGAGGAGGTGTACTGAAGCCAGTCCCCAACTCCGGGGACTTCCGGCCGGGGACTTTGGGTGGCAGTATACGCCGTGAAGTTGTTTGCAGCCTGCCAGTAAACCCAAAGCAGAAGAAGAAGTGACGTCAGCGGCTTCATTTGCCTAATCCTCCCCCAGGGACTTATTCCGGTGTGAACGCGATCTGTATTTAGTTCAAGAGAACTAAAGAGTTCTCATGAACTAAGCTCTTATGAACCTTTGTGGGAAAAGTACTGCGGTGTGACTGCGCCTAAGGAAGACTATCCTTAAGACCTTGCTATGCTAAGTATTTACGCCTTTCCAGAGGTGGGAGTAAGTCCTACATGAGCAAGTCTCAAGTCTTAACCTACAAGTCTCAAGCAAGTCCCAAGTCACTGTGGTGAGAGTCAAGCAAGTCAAGTCAAGTCATTGCTCAGGTCAAGCAAGTTACAAGTCAAGTCATACGAAATTCTGATTAATAACCCCAGTTTCCGCATTTAAATCAGTTAAAAATATTGTGGTTATGAAAAGATTAGTTTTATTTTCAACATAAACAGCAATGGAGAATGGGGTGCTGAAATTATAACCCTATACGTTCTAAAAAGGGCTCTAAAGTGATAACAGGAGTACAACACACATATTTGACATCAACATGTTAAGCCTCCTGCCCTGGCTCCCCTTCAGCAGGGTCACAGCATTCCTCCTGTCTAAGGTGCTCCCATATGACACTCATATGTTTTCCTAACTGTGTCAGTGCACAAAGAGATATTGCATCAGTGTTTTTGTGTGCAGACAGTGCGACATTAAGATTAAACACATTTATTTCATTTGGGAACACCCACATATACATATGGAGTTGGCCAGACAAATGCCATTGTCGGACAAACACACCGAACACACACAGAGCAGAGCAGAGCAAAAACACACACACATCATGCGCCTTAGTGACCGGACATCTCCTTCATAAAACGAGTAATAGGGGCATTAATCGGGCAGTTCGATGTGTTTAGAGTAGGGCTGTCAAACGATTACAATTTTTAATCAGATTAATCACAGCTTAAAAATTAATTAATCATGATTAATCACCATTCGAACTATGTCCAAAATATGCCATTTATTTATGTATATTGTTGTGGGAATGGAAAGATAAATGAAAGAAGGCGGATATATCCATTTAACATACAGTATCTATGTTTATTATTAGGGCTGCACATAACTGGTGCGCAGGTGCGCATGCGCACCTCCGCCAAAAAAAGAGCACCGGGTCATTTGATAAAAGGCGCATTTGCGCACCAACATTGAGAGAGAGAGAGAGAGAGAGAGAGAGAGAGAGAGAGAGAGGGAGAGAGAGAAGGGAAAGAGAGGAGAGAGGAGAGAGAAGAGAGAAAGAGAGAAAGAGAGAAAGATATTTGCGAGTTGCATATGAATTCAGGGCCGGCCCGTGGCACTGGCGTTTTAGATGTTCGCCTAGGGCGCCAGATCTGTGGAGGAGCTGCGCTGGCAGTTCTGGGAGGGAAAACATTTTTTTTGACCGTTGGTGCTCATCCTAATTTTCGGCCTTGATGTAACAATATTCATAATCAATCAATCAATCAATCAATCACTGTTTATTTATATAGCCCAATATCACAAATGTTACATTTGTCTCAGTGGACTTTACAGTTTGTACAAAATATCAGTATGACAATATGACACCCTCTGTCCTTAGACCCTCACATCGTAGTTAAGTAAATGTAACACCCTTTTCACCCCGGTTACACGTTTCATTTGCCCTGTACGATGGGCGCTGTAAGTGATTAAAATGGGGGATGTTTGCTTATCTGGCGCCCGCAGCTCACAGCCAAAGTGCGAGGGAGCTAGGGAGAGAGGGAGGGTGCACCGGTACCGGCGCTGTTGTTATTAGAATCTGGTGCCGTGCTAGCTGCTCTAACGGATATAAGAAGAAGATGTGTCTCCAATAATGTGGAGGGAGAGTCCTCTCCAGTCAGACTGAGAGGCTGATACTACAGCTCAGTGAGGTAAGGACTCTGAGTGTTTAGATAGTTCACTTTAGTCTAAGTTCAAACGGTTTGGTCACAATTTATGTAAACACATATTTCCAAGGCACTCCTTTATAATTATTGGGATAAACAGGTTTGAAATCATTCCAATGTATACTATAGGACAGTAACCAAAAATATATATATATATAGAGATAAAAAAAATGCATAAATAAATGTTACGGTAAAATAAGATATGAATGAACAACACAAATAAAATAAGTTACATTCATTTGTTATTGGCTATGGTAGGTTATTGGTTATGTTCACATACTTATTTGATTACATCCACTTGTCTAAGATGACAGAGACTTTCGACCCAAATCCAGCTGTTGACTTGTGGATGCAAGCAGCTAATCGCAGACTTAACCAGAGAGAAAGAAGTAGGCCTACATCATCAGCTACCATGTCTGACAGAGAGGAAGACAGTGAGGAGAACAGTCAGGAGGGTAGTGATGACAGCTTGTAGGATTACTGGTCGTGCTAATGTTGTCTTGTGTTCACCTCTGTATGTGTGTTCTGTGTTCACCTCTGCATTTGTGTTCAGTGCCGTGTGTCTGGCAAATCAAGTCAAGACCCCCTCAAAAGTTACGATTTATTTCATTTTATGGATGAGCACCAAGCAACATCTCCAGGTGCTCCTTTGAGAACCAGGGCAAAAAAGTTATGTGCACCCCTGTTTATTATAACATTTTTCTGCGTGTCAAAATGAAAGACAACCCACACACCTATCAATCATCAAACCGTGGGGTCTTAATTCATTACGTGTTGATTTCTATCAACGGGGGAGTACTTCAGGAAAGTCGACAGAGGGGGGGCGGCTATGGAGTACTTCGTGACCACAGAGTGTGAACGATCAGCTGTTTCAGCGCAGTTTTCCAGTGAAGGGGGAGGGGGGAGTCTCCCTCCACAGCCGGTTGGCGTAGTTTTGGCACAATTCTGTTGTACAGACCGACGTTAACAGCAGCCCTGTCTGTGCACACGGAGACCGACTCTGTCGTCCGGTGATCTAACCGCCTTCTGGGAAAGCTTCACAAGTACGTCGGTACGCAAATGCGCTTTGTGACACAAGTGACGGTACGCATTTCAGATTACACACATAACCTGCGTACCAGTTATGTGCACCCCTGTACTACAGCAAAAGTATTCTCCGTCGGGACTTCCTGCAACAACACCACGCCGTTATCAAAGATGTTCTATTGAGAAGACGATCACTACGTGACAAAAGTTTTCAAAACCGTGGCTACTGAAATCAATCTTACTAACTGCTGTCTGTGCAATATACTCCGCGCGAGTTGGCAGACTTTATTTTGCTTACTTTAACATCATTTTTCATGGTGGGGCTAAGCCATTTCTTGGTATGGGTGTAGCCTACCCCAGCCATACCCTGGCGCTGCCACTGGTGGCACGTATGGGGCGGGCCATTCTGCACATGCGTTAAATGCGTTAAATATTTTAACGCACTTAATTCAAAAAATTAATTACCGCCGTTAACGCGATCATTTTGACAGCACTAGTTTAGAGGTGTGTGTGGTTAAACGTAGCAGCCTGCGGTCGCTCTTTAGCTGTTCTAATTAGGGATGCACCGAATATTCGGCCACCGAAAATTATCGGCCGAAAATGGTTCGGCCGATCATCATTAACCCATGTTTGTATAATGTAGTTAACTCCGTGTGTTGCTGCTAGCATACATAACACCTGACGTGGAAACGTTACTCGTGGATGGGGCTACAGAGCTGCTAGAAAGACGGTCGAACCCGGTACATTCCTCCGTCTGCATGCGGTGCACTTTTGCTAAATGTTTAGACAAATTGCTCGTGCGCCCTTACATGCTCAACTCGTATTGCACTTATGGTAACAAGTATTCTCCACATCGAGACGGGTAAAGTTTAACCACACCTCGGAGCGCGTTCTCTCCACCATCTCCGCAGTGTGCTCCGCTGCATGTAGCAGCTGCATGTGTGTAAACTGCCCCGCCTCCTCGCACACAGACGGGGGAGAGAGATCTCGTCTGATCGAAAATACATCATAGACGCATTTGTTGTCTTTGCACAGGGGCGGCGCCAGGGGGTATCTTGGAGTTGCTATAGCAACTCCAACAATTGGCCTAGCAACGGCTTAGCAACCCCATTGTTTTGATATGAAAATGTATCATATTTATACACATTCTCGCAGCCCGCGAGAATGTGTATAAATATGATACATTTTCGCGGGATCTATCAGGGGCGGGTCGTTGTAATTTACTGCGTGAACTGTTACTTGGCTAATTCTCAGTAGATCGAAAATGGAAAATGTTCTCACAGTCACAAGTCAGCGTAAACGACCGCGATCTCCAACGGAGCCGGTCCAGCCGGACAACCCTGCTATTCACAAGGATCCCGATGTTCACTATGAAAACCGGGAGGATTGGGACCACGAAGAACAGGTGCCCCCGCCAACTGACCCGCTGCACCCGCAGCAGCAGGACCAGCTAGCTGCTACCACGAGCTGCAGTGGAACTAGTGGAACTAGCGCTGCTCCTCTCCGCACCGTAATTGACATCAGCCAGTCAGCCTGTGATGGACCAAGACGTCCTATGCTGAGAAAATACCCGTCAAAGAAGTACGGACTGCAAATGCGGTCATTCCATCGCCGATGGTACGAGCAATATACTTGGCTAGAGTACTCAATGACTATGGACAGTGTATTGTGTTTTGCCTGCAGGCATTTTGCTCATGAAGGACGCCGGTTCCATAAAGAAACCGCCTTTACCCATGACGGATTTAGCACCTGGGTGAAAGCTACGCAGTCATTCATTACTCATGATGTGAGCAGTGGACATAAATGTGCCATGGATGCATGGTCTGAATTTAAATTAAGGAAAGAGAGTGGCTCAAAAATCAGCAACGCACTCAGCGAGGGACATTCAAAAACTGTATGTGAAAACAGGGAATATATGCGGGCAGTTGTGGAAGCATTGCGTTACACTGCGTGTCAAACCATTGCACAACGAGGGCATAGGGAGAGTGAAGCATCATCAAACAACAGGGGAAACTTCATCGAAGTTTTAGACCTGATTGGCAAGTTTGACAAAACTGTGGCAAAAAAAATATCCGATAATCCGAGAAATGCAAAGTACACACACCACGACATACAAGATGAGCTAATTGAGCTGATGTCAAATATGGTCAGGGACATGGGCGGCGCCAGGATTTTTTTGCTGCAGTAGCTTAGCAGTTGCTATATGACAGTGTGTAGCAGGGAGTTAGGGAGATACCGCCCCTTCCAGGTGTGTGTATGTGTGTGCGTTTTCCGGTGGGTGTCACGTGAAAGTCATGAGTGTTACACTATTGATTGGTTCTGTAAATAAAGAGAACGTTTTCGACATTGAAGGCTTGCGTGATCTTGAATAGCGGTGAACGCTACAATATGAACAGGCTCGTGCTTGGCCCACTGGTATTGTTTGTTTATTTTGAAAATTAACTAGCAACGCCGTGCTGTCATATAGCAACTGCTAAGCTACTGCAGCAAAAAAAATCCTGGCGCCGCCCATGTCTTTGCATATTAGAAACGAGTTGGCGACATTAAGACTGCGATATAATGTTGTTTAGCAATAATACATGACATATATAAATGTACTGTATGCATTCAAAAGTGCTGAATAAATGTTTTATGGACCCATAATAGTGATTATTATTTAAGTTAAGTTTTGCCATAATCATGTCTATTTCCATAATCAGGTAACTGAACAACATTGGTAAAAAATGTATACATTATATATATATATATTTCTATTAATCATTTTCGGCCTTTGGTTTTCGGCCAACTTCCTATTTTCGGTATCGGCCAAGAATTTCCCATTCGGTGCACCCCTAGTTCTAATGAAAGTAAACACAGTGAAGGCGTTGTGTAAAAGGCACCCACCTCTGCGCCTTTCACCACCATACACAGGCAAACTAAAGGATTTCTCATCCAAGGCCTTTTTTAATCACGTATTAGCTGCTTACATGATGCTGTTGCTCCATGTGGCTGTGGCTCCGCATTGAAGATGATCTTGCACTGCATTCCTAAGTGAAATCAACATGGTGTTTTTCTAATTAGATGCTGTCTATGTACCTCTCTTTTCAGTGTCGAGGGAGTGCAGCAGCTTCTCCTGTTGATCGAGGCGCTGCAGGAGAGCCGTCTGCTCAGAGTCCTGGCTCTGCCTCAGGGCCTTTAACTGATCCCTGGTCTGTTGTTGCTGCTTCCTCAGGCGCTGTTCTCTTGTGTTGCACTCCCGCACCTCCTCACACAGCCAGCGTATCTTGGTCTGGTTGGTGAAATACATTTAGAATCAATGGACTGGAGTGATATGGGTATCAACGGTTCTTCTAAGTTTAATCAAAACTTAAGGGCATTATGAAGGGGCATTAACCAATATAGATATGTTTTCTAACATTGTTCAGTGTTTCACTATGGTACTATTTACAGTTAAACAATCTTACTCTGTTATCAATAGGGTTGGGAACCGAAACTCGGTTCCAGATGAGAACCGATAAGAAAATGCCGGGTACCGGGTACCCATACAAAATACACAATTTCGGTTCTGCTTAACGGTTCCTAAACGTGGTAGACCCTGTATTCCAGCGGGTCCGTCTGCACCGCGGTGACCCGGTGGAATACAGGGCGGACCTGGAGAATCACAGAACGGCCGGTCGTCAGCGGGCCGTATACGGCCGGCTCGGTACGCTGACGGCCGGCACCGCCCTTAATTTTAACGGCATCATGTAAGTTGCGCTGACAGGCGACAGAGGTCCACAGTTGCCCCGCAGCGATGCTCCCCCCGCCCTCCCGTAGACAGTTCACGAGCTCAGTCACTTCATAACACCAAAGATGGGTCGCGGTAAACGCTCTGAAGTGAGGCTCCACTACACTAAAAAAGAAAAGGACGAGGCACAGTGTTATGCCTGTTAATAGCTTGCCACAGGCATAGCTCAGTTAAAATAAAGCACAGCTATTGTGCAATACATTTGTATTGCATGTATATTTTTTATTAGTAAATTTCAGTTAAAGCTTAAAAGAATAAAGATATTTTTGTTATCTAAACGTTTGACCTCTTTCTTTTACAATTTTGGAATCGAAACGGGGAATCGATAAGAACCGGAATCGATAAGCAGAACCGGAATCGGAATCGATACATTTCAAACGATACCCATCCCTAGTTATCAAAGAACCAAAGTACCGTTAAGTAACCCAACATTTTTAAAGACTAAGGCCTTATATTAGTTCCTGCCTGTCGGGTGTTCTTTTACCCATAATGACCGCCTCGCTGCACATTATCCCTTACATAAATCATACCTTGATTTTACTAACATAGAAAGTGCTAACAAGGGAGTTAATTATCCCTCTTGTTCTGTGGTTTTGTATTCTTCTGAAAGAATTTCTGACAGGAGGTATACATTATGGTGATAAGCACCATGAATTGTGAAAACACATTTTAACAAAGTATCATGCATCACCGCCGCAGCCATAATTACATGTTTCATTTGTACAGAACGTCGTTGCAATACTAAAGAGGAGATGATTTGTGTTGGAAAGAAGTCAAGTGGCAATTTTACTGCAAAAGACAGGAAGACACACAATAAAAGAAAAACTGCATCTTATCATTTCATCAATTACAAAAGCAAAACATCATGTTGAACATAATGCTGGCTTAGAGGAATGATAGCCAGAGAAATACTGTACTATGATTGAACTTCTAAGGATATAGCAAATTCCAATTTTCCTTGAGCTCATAATTATTATGGATTATGGTCATAACCTCAGTTTCATTATGATCACTGATGACTCTGCTACACATCAGTGCTCAGCTGTGGTTGCTTCTTCTGGTTTCCTCTATAATAAATCATCTTTTCATAGGGGTTATGCTTTTGTAAATGTTTTAAAAACACACAAAAGCATATGTACTTGGTTAAATCATTATTTGTTCACAAGGACCAAATAACACTGGTTACATAGATTTGTTGCGATTGTCTTTCATTCATCTTCTATAAAGTGTAGGCCTGGGAATGAGCATGGTGTTCAAGGTCGTGCCAAGTACTTCATCTTGCATTTTCTCAATTATATATTTGATTATTTAGACAAATCCCTTGTAAGGAAAAGCAGCACTGCGTGTAATAATCATACCTTTGTCTCAGCTAGCCAGCGGTGGGGGTCTTTCACTAATCCAGGTTTCTGGGAGATGGCCTGTGAAAACAGAACAGAGATTACTGCAAATGTAAGCAGTAAAGCGACTGCTTTATTTTATTGCTATTTAACTATATTTTATTACGGTGTCCTTAAAGATTTCTTGTTTTATATTTGATGTCTGCACCATGACATCAAGTCAAATTCCTCGTATGTGTGAACCTACCTGGCAATAAACCTGTTTCTGATCCTGATCTATACATACAAGCAGTGTTTACAGTAACGCTGTTATTTTTGACAGTAACTAGTACTCTATCGCATTACTTTTTAAATTCAGTAACTCAGTTACCGTTACTACATGGTGCGTTACTCCGTTAGTTTTTTTTATATAGTCAACAGCCAGGCGAACAGAGATGAGAACTGTACTTAAGTACAGTACTTAAGTACAGTACTTGAGTAAATGTACTTAGATACTTTGCGCTGTGGGCGTGTTTGTGTTGTTTACTAACAAGACTATCATGGCGGCGGCGGAGCTCAAGTCTAGTTTCTCCACCTGGAGATATTCTCACTATTTCACTTTTGTCGAGCACAAAGAAAAGAAAGTTTCTGTTAAATGTAAGTTGTGTCCTGGTGGGTCAAAGATCTTATCTACTGCCCAAACCAGTAATTCAAATATCTTAAAACATCTGCAAAAACAACATGCTGGGACGAAGCTAGTAGCTAAGACCACAGAGACTCAGCCGACGCCACTCCACCTCCACCTAAGCAACAGCGGCTGGATTTTAACCAAGGGACTGCTAGCCAGGGAAAAGTCGATAAAGCCATTGCACGGTATGTTGTAGAACACATGCAGGCTATTGCTACAGTGGAGTCACCCGCTTTCAGGGAGCTAGTTAGCATGATAGCATGTCCGGGCGGCACACGGCATATATTATGGGACGGAAAACTTTTTCCAACTACCTGGAGAAAGAATATACAAAAATGGAAAGCCAGCTAATATCGATGCAATCCAGATTGCATATAATGCATGTCAAGTTGATCAACAGATTGTATTATTCTTCAATGCAATAACAGTACTGAAATGAAGGCTATAAGGGCATTAATGGGAGCTCTTTTTTCAAGTAACTAAAACGTTACTTTTCACAGTAGCTTGTCAGCATCAACAATACAAAATGACTTTCTGCAAACTCCTAATGACCCCACACACACACACACACACACACACACACACACACACACACACACACACACACACACACACACACACACACACACACACCACACACCACACACACACACACACAAGATGGCACTTTGTTCAGAGCACAACACACAAAGCAGGCATCGACACAAATAAGATCAAATATGTACAAAACCGTGGTAAAAAAAACAACCCAAAAAACCCTGTTTGTGTTACATGAGGAGATGAACACATGGAATATTTATAATCCAATCGTACTTTTAGGCTTTGTAGTTTATTAGCGTAACCGCATGTACACAATCAGGTCTGTTCAGGTGTCCTTATGGTTGCACTTTAACCAATGCACCAACCGAAGGAGCAGGTCATCGTTACTATATATTAATAATGTCGAAACAGAAACAAACATGGGTTACCATGGGATATGAGAAGAAAACACATTGCGGTTAGATGATATGTGTATTTACCAATGGACTTCCAGGTCATCCTAAAGTGGCAGCTTTATCTGAAACTGAAACAAACTTTCTGATGCTCCACTTCTCCAATTTCGTCAGTAATGGAAGGTTTATTATGTCCAATGTTTACTGATGGCTCAAAAAACACGAATTTGGTTTTCATAAAAGAGCTAAAATAAACTAAATTAAAAAAAGTAAATAATTGATCTTTGCCCAACGATAAATCTTTAGTTTCAAATTTGCAAGGAGACTTCCTGCCACCCTGCTAACATACAAAGAGACAAGAGCAAACGCATAACTCCCGTGCTACTACATAAAGGTAAACAGCTCCAACAAACACACATTCCCATGTACTAAATCACACAGTCAACAAAAAGTACAACAGTTTGTATTATTTCCCCAGGTTATGGCAAGGTGTTTACGTGTGATCAACACACATGGAAAGCACACAGCAGGATTTCTTTGACCCTGAACATAGTCACTGCAGAGGTGTCAGGCAACTTTTTCATGCTGTCATTCAAAACCAAGATCCAAGCAAAATGAATTTCCCAAGTTGTTGCCACGGCAGAGTGCTGCTGTGCTGAGGTCCCCCATCTCAGGGAGTGTACAACGGCATGGCAGAGCGTGTGAATGTGTCGGAGGATAAAACATGAGTATATGCTTCTCGCTATTTCTTTTCTACTGTTTTCACCAACCATCAAAGGCAGCTGCGCTCAGTGGCAGACAAAAAGGTGGAGAAACTGTTGGAAACTGAACAAGTAGGCTGGGAGTTTAAAGTGCTGTCTGTGGGGTTGAAGAGAGAAATTCCACTATTTTCTCAGCAGCACCGCCGTGAAATCCAAATGTCTGCCACTGCTCATTTAAATGTGTGACTGTGTGGTGTATATGTCTATTTCAGAGTGCGACTACTACCGTGTGTCTTTGATCACAGTTTGTTTGATCCCCTACTGCTGAGAAAATGGCAAAGATGGCAAAGTTTAGAGAGAAGCAAAGAGTGGAGACAAAAATGTTGATGTCATTCTATGTATTTGCACATGGTAACCTTTAAACCTGTAACACTTGAAATGGATTGTTCTTGGGAATGGTAAACTTTTTCAGTATTTTAACTCAATCATTGTGTCATGTGAAGCAGACAAAAGAAAATAACTTCACGCGATGAAGTAATGTATGTTTGTTTTAAACCATTTCTTAAATTACATTTATAAAAGAATCCATGGTAATATATACAGTTAACGTGATGTAATGTTACCTATATTATGAGATATGTATATATTTTACGAAGACTTTGGCCATTCACCCAAGCCTTTATGACAGCGTACTACCCTATTAAGTATTAACTTCACTACACTGTCTTACAACTTCTTGCATTAGTGCCTCTTAAGAGAAGGAAGATCGGTATCATGAGGTAACTGAAACCTAATATACCCCTTAAATGTTAATGCTCCCCCTCATTAGGCCAATCACTCGTGAGTTTGACTTCTTCCCAACATGACAGATTACAGATGAGGCGAGGCATTGGCTGGCAGCTCTGGCTGCAGCACTGCGGGCCAGATAGTGAAATCTATACGAGCAGATAAGAGCAGGCTGGGTTAGGGTTACCTCCTGAACAATAACAAAATGCCTGCGTGTGATGTTTGTAAAGTTCCAAGTAAAGTCGTCCCTTGTAAAGTCGTCCGATGCCTTCCATTTCGTTTCGTAAGAGGATAACCAAAGCGAACTGCGCTTCAATTCAATTCAAATTCAATTCAAAACCTTTATTTATCCAGGTAAAATCCCATTGAGATCAATGATCTCTTTTTCAAGGGAGACCTGCAGCAGTAGGTTCCACAAGAAGACATAAAAACATAAACAACAAAAGGACATCATACAGCAAAATGTACAGGGATTATAATTTACATATCTAACCACAAGTACAGGTACCAACAGCATCTGATTTTGTAGCATCCAACCGAGCTTTAAAAACATGTAGTGGTACTAGCTTGGTAATTTTCCATTCTTTTTGCAGACTGTTCCATGTTAGTGGAGCTGCACATCTAAAAGCTTTCTTCCCTAAGACAGTCCTAGCACTTGGCACATTTAATAAAACCACAGCATGCCATCTCAGGCAATAAGTACTTTCAATTCGCAGAGAGATCAGAGAGCAGATATAAGAATACAATCGGCCATTGTTGTTGTTGTCGTCGATGTGAGGGATTTCCGCGCAGTTTGGGTTTTATGAAGCAGGCACGTAAACGGTGACGTCATGACGCAGCAGCGGCAGCTCTGGGCGGTGTGAACAGAGCGGGAGCAGAAAAGGGAAACTGGAGCTGAACCAGAAAAGCTCCCGCTCGGAGCTGGTGTGAAAGCCGCATAATGCGTCACAATGTGAAGTTAGTAAACAATGGAGGTGTTTCAGGAGGGGGTGGGTGGTAGAGAAACTCCCTCTTGAGGGGACTTTAAGATGTTAGCCTTTGCAGACCATTTACATGCACAGAACCTATATTATGCACTACAGGAAAGGGAAAAGCATTTAAGGAGCCACTGAAAGCACAGGGGGAGGAAAACATACCTTACAGATATATATATTCTAATCACAGGGTAATTGACTAGTCGATTCAACTTGAAGAAATAGCATAACCTTTCTTACATTGGATAGCAAATTCTATGGTGCACTTTGCCCAGTTCATACACGCAGAAACATAAAAAATACTCATACATAAATTATCCCAAAAAAAACCTTCACCTAGAGATGCACTGATGCACAGTTAATGGACTGCACTTATATAGACATACATACATATACAGTACAGCATTCTCCCATTCACATTATGGCAGGGTTCTAAGGGCAACTAACATACACTCACATACCGTTGGCCCTTGCCACCGAGGGCTTTTTGGGCTGAAGTGTGTTGCCCCAAGGACCACAGACCTTCGGATTGGTTGACAACAGAGCTACCTCCTGAGCCACAGCGGCCAATCAGTCTTGTATATCCAATGTTTTACCGTCAAATGTACCTACCTGATGGTTTTATGTAACGCACAATGCAACACAGAGAGTACCTTAAAGCCACACACACAGAAAATAGACTGTGGAGGATTAACCTTAGGGAGAAAAAGGTACTGTCCCTTTTTAATATGAAGAACAAATGTGAACTTAATTTTTCATGAGAGGAAATGTATAACAAAGTTTGTGTATTGTCAATTAAGAGTATTCAGAAAGAAAACAAACTGCATAAGCATGACAGACTAAAAACATTGTAATCAGACATGAAAATTGCAATCAGTGCACCTCTACTCTATCTGATTCTAACATATTCACCCTATTAAAGGAACAAACATCTTTCAATCAATAAGAGATGGAAGAATTTCAGATTGAATGCAAGCCACCACACAGCCTTCATCACAGTATGTACAGTTTGTGCAAGATAAGTGGGCCTTGATGGGGTAGGGTGTATGCATCATATAGTCATATAGAGCTGATGAGATTAGATGATCATATTCAGATTGATTATCATAATTTTCTATAAAAAAGTATACAAAAGTGATCGTTCTCATAAATAATTTGCTATATTTTATTTTTTACATTGTGGGACATTTAAAGGTGGGGTAGGTCATTTTGGAGAAACCAGCTCGAGTGCGCTAGAATTTGAAAATACACAACCGGAAAAAATCTGCCACTTCCTTACAGAGTCCCTCCTCCAACACACACGAACGCGCACATGACCAATGAGGGCACGAGATAAGTTTGTGCACAGATGGAAGGCTGACAGGCAGGTAGGCCATCCAGTTATTTTAGCCGGGCCGGCTAAGATGATTGGTTGTGCTTTTTACAGTACTACGGCTTCCACTGATTAAATGTTGTTATGGATTTGTCAAAGCACTTCAGATATTCATTGCTATCGGGATGTTAAGAGCATTCCATGGAATATAACAAAAAGTGTATCTCGAGCCGGTTTCTCAAACTTACCTACCCCACCTTTAAGTGATTTAATTTTGGGGTTTTGACTGCCCAAAACAAGACATTAAAGTTAAAATGGAAATATTTTTACTTTTCTTTGATGTTTAATAGACTAAATTATACATTCAAAATATACACTGCAAATTAATAATAATGACGTACATTTTAAGGGATATGTTTTTAACTTTAACTCTTAAATCAAAATATGGCTGTGTGTGCTGAACATACAAATACCATTTTTTTAAACAACTACACACCTGACAACGTACTTTAGATCTTTGCTTCATCTTATTCATCTCAAACTGTCCACATGAATTGAATTGCCATATGACACTAGATATTGACTTTAACATTGTATGAAATGACTGCATGTAAAAGAGTTGCAAATAGTACCAAACTGCAGCACCTTTACCACACTGTCCCGCTTCTCCAGCCACACTGAATACAAATGAACTGGCGTAGCATGACCGGACAAATAATGAAGTAAGCAACTGAGTTTTCTAATGAGTTTGTGGACTATTGGAGCTAAACGGCAAGTCAATATTGTACTTTTGAAGCCCCTGCAGTGGCTGAAATTGCTAAATGCAGCTTTAAACAAACTCGAGGTAATTAAATACAATGTAATTAAATAAATGACCTGTAGTTTGTCTTCACCGTTCCTAGCCAGGCTGCGACAGGCTGCATCCAGTTCCTCACCCATGGAGGTAAGGACTGCCTCTTGCTCTGCTTCCATCAGCAACACCTTCTCCTCCAGCCTAACACGCTCCGACTCTGAAGCGCGCCTCCGCTCACCCGACCTGACCTGTGTTAGGGGGCGAGAGAGAGCCGAGTGGGGTATTGTGGGTGAAAATGTGCAACCGCCGTCAGGAGTTCTGTCATTTGAATCTTACAAGACAGAAGTATTGCAGTTGATTTTTTTGAAGATCACTTTGAAAAATCCAGGTTTGATTATTAGAAGATCAATTCCAGTAGATGTAAGATTACAGGATTAAAAGGATGGTGCAGGAATGAGTCATATACCCAGAAAAGAGTTAGCATTTAAGCACTTCCTGATTCCATAGTCTCAATGTTTTTTTTTAATGAGCTGTTCCACTCCACTGGTGACCGTCTGAAGCTTTTAGGTGCTTAAGAAAAAGGGCCGGTGGCCGGTGGCTAACAAGTAACTAAATGAGAATTCTAAACATCATCACGCCAAATGATGAACCGCCTTTAGCTTAGCGGTAGTGACATGAAGTCATGAAACCGTGATGTAGTTCTGTGCTACCCTAACGTTAGCTTATTACTACTGGCAATTGCATTTACTCTTCAACCATTATAAAAGTGGTGTTAATACCTGGAGATGATCCTGCTCACTTTCATAAACATTTGTTTTGCCACAAATGTCTACTCTTTTAAATGTGTTATTATGCGCAATGCCTTGTTTTGTTTTATGTTGCTGCAACAACAAAAAATCCCAAATTGGGATTAATAAAGTACATCTTGTCTTATTTTCTGCAATTATTCCAAAATCCAATGGAAAAATGACATTGCTTTTTATTGAGCGAGCCTTTACAAAGCTAACCTCCGGGACAGCCTACAAAAATGTGTTTTCACTTCACCACTGTATACACAGATAAAAACAGATAAACCTTGGGCCATTCAGTGTACTCTTTCACAAACAAACCTAGTTAACTTTCCTTCCCTGGCCCTCACTGTCAATAGTTTCCCAGCAGGACACAGCGATCGATAAGTCTGAGGCACAGGAACCAACTGATCAGTGCTACCCGGGGACCATGGATCATTACCCTGTCTCTGGGATAATAAACCGCCTATGTTATATTAATAAGAGCCGCTTTTTCTTCATTCACCCGATTTACAATCAATACATGGATCCCCAAAGATCCCCATACAACTTATCAGGGGCCTGTCAGAGAAGTGAATAGGGGTTCAATACTCCATCTGCGGTTGTAAAACACCTGAGGACGTATTGATAAATCCCCTTTAAAAATAGTGCTGATCTGGCAGCACTTAACCTTTTGAACCATACTTAAGTCTGTATGATCACGTGGCCTAAGCAGATATAACAAATCTTCATGCAGAGAAGGAAGGTAGGAAAGCTATGTCCTTGATGGTAGACATTCATAAATATATAAAAAAAGAATGTGGTTAATTGTATTGCACTATCTTTAAGAGAGTACGCTTGGAAGGAATATCAAAAAAGGTTTCAAGGTAACAATGTGCACTCTATTAGAACAGGTAACATCAGTGTCTGCACATTCTCTCCATGCACCTATACACGCATATCTATAAGCTTGTGCTGTATGTATATTAATTATTAAAAAAAATACGAAATGAATCATACTTTATCATTCAAAAATGTAAATTAAAATGATGGGTATTAACAGATTATGACGACATTTCTACGAACATGTCCGTCAAAATGATTGACAGCGCTATAACCGCTGCGGATGACTCACGTCTGTACAATTTGCCCAACCATTTAGATATCTTTCATTTCAACGTCCTTGGACTTCAGCTGCCACGAGTAATTAGAATCAGCACAAATACTTCAAACTTTCTGATACTCACTCATTGGAAGTTTCACGTCATCTGATATAACGTTATGAAAAGACCAGGAGGCGGGGCTTACTTTGTCATCCAGATCCTGTTTGAGTAGCTGGTACTTTCTGCGGAGAAGTGCATGTGCCTCGTCTTTTGTGCTCAGCTGTGCTGCCAGCTTATCACACTCATCCTTCATCCTATCCAGCTTGATGCGCAGAGCTGCACACAGCTCCTTGTCTGACGCTGCATCTGCCTAGTGGAGAAGGGGGGGTGTTTAAGGCATGATATACAAGCAATACTTTGAGATAATGAGGACTGATGTTTATCTGCTGCGAATATATCTACATAAAGCAGGCTGCAGTTTGTATTTCTGTGATATTCAAGCCTCGAGATATACTGGGAGTATGATTATAAAGTGTAAATAGGTTTTCCAAGTGGCATTAGCATTGATATCAATTCTGCCTCTTCATACATCATGCCAAATTAGTTAAAATCCTACCTTGAAACTTTTCTAAATATATATAAATAAATATATATATTTTTTTTTTTGTAGCGATATGTTTTCTCTACGATCTATTTTCTTAAAGGTCTCCTATTGTGCTATTTGTAGGCATATATTATGGGTCTCAGATATATACAAATATATAAAAAACACGTCTATGGTGTGTTTTGCTCAAAATACCAAACAGATCATGCATTTCAGACATCCCTCATATCCCTCTATTTCAACCCTGTTAGAGAACTGCAGATTCTGGGTCAGTAGCTGCTGCCCCCCCCCCCCCCCTTTGGAGCGTGCAGAAATTCCCTCTTTGGGATTGTAGCCTTTGCAGACCATTTACACACACAAACACCTATAGGGAATGGAAAACCCCAAAAAGCACAAAAGGGCCTCTTTATTATGTGGAGTTTATTATATCAAATATGTCTATCTTTATTTCTAAATGTTATGAAACATGTCTTTTATAAAGTTTGTAGTTACTGCCATTAGGTCCTTGACATAGAAATTGGATGACTTACAGGAGGGCTTTTTCCTCAATAGCTATGCTTTCTGCCCTCCCACTTCAACTAATGTGGTTTTCTTGTACCATGTCTGTATCAATTGTCAGTATTACATTTGATATAGTTAATACAAAAAAGATATCTAAAGTCACGTATTGCAGGTACAGGGGGAAACATCCACAAAGTCTGACATAGCATTATTATTGTTTGTTGGGTCAAGAGAATGAGTAAATGACATCCCCTATCAAAATCATGGTCTAAGTCCTTAATATGTTTCTCAGTCGGGCTTATGCTCAGGGGTGCACATAACTTGTTTGCCCTGGTTCTCAAAGGAGCACCTGGAGATGTTGCTTGGTGCTCATCCTTAAAATAAAATAAACCGTAACTTTTGAGAGGGTCTTGACTTTATTTGCCAGACACACGGCACTGAACACACAGAGGTGCACACAGAACACACATGCAGAGGTGAACACAAGACAACATTAGCACGACCAGTAATCCTACAAGCTGTCATCACTGTTCTCCTGACTGTTCTCCTCACTGTCTTCCTCTCTGTCAGACATGGTAGCTCGTGATGTAGGCCTACTTCTTTCTCTCTGGTTGAGTCTGCGATTAGCTGCTTGCATCCACAAGTCAACAGCTGGATTTGGGTCGAAAGTCTCTGTCATCTTAGACAAGTGGATGTAATCAAATAAGTATGTGAACATAACCAATAACCTACCATAGCCAATAACAAATGAATGTAACTTATTTTATTTGTGTTGTTCATTCATATCTTATTTTACCTTAACATTTATTTATTTATGCATCTTTTTTTTATCTCTCCAGTTTTAAAGTATATTTTTGGTTGCTGTCCTATAGCATACATTGGAATGATTTCAAACCTGTTTATCCCAATAATTATAAAGGAGTGCCTTGGAAATATGTGTTTACATAAATTGTGATCAAACCGTTTGAACTTAGACTAAAGTGAACTATCTAAACACTCAGAGTCCTTTACCTCACTGAGCTGTAGTATCAGCCTCTCAGTCTGACTGGAGAGGACTCTCCCTCCACATTATTGGAGAAACATCTTCTTCTTAGCTAGCACCAGATTCTAATAACAACAGCCCTAACAACCCTCCCTCTCTCCCACGCTCACTCGCATTTTGGCTGTGAGCTGCGGGCGCCAGATAAGCCAACATCCCCCATTTTCATCACTTACAGCGCCCATCGTACAGGGCAAATGGAACGTGTAACCGGGGTGAAAAGGGTGTACATTTACTTAATTGTGAATATCGTTACATCAAGGCCGAAAATTAGGATGAGCGCCAACGGTCAAAAATGTTTTTTTCCCTCCCAGCGCAGCGCCTCCACAGATCTGGCGCCCTAGGCGAACATCTATAACGGCAGTGCTACGGGCCGGCCCTCAGTTAATATGCAACTCGCAAATATCTTTCTCTCTCTCTCTCTCTCTCTCTCCCCTATCTCCCTTCTCTCTCTCCCTCTCTCTCAATGTTGGTGCGCAAATGCGCCTTTTTTCAAATGACCCGGTGCTCTTTTTTTGGCGGAGGTGCGCATGCGCACCTGCGCACCAGTTATGTGCAGCCCTGCTTATGCTTGTAGAAGACAATCCAGCCTCAGCTCAGACATAAGCTTTCTATCTAGAGTGATCACTTTATCACACAGGGCTGAAGATATAGTAAAGTGGAATGAACAAATGGATAGACTGCGAGAGACAGCAATGACTAGGAAAAAAAGAAAAAAACTGGAAGTGAGAAGAGAGGAAAAACAGATGGAAAAAGCTACATTTCAACTGGAGGGAGGCAGTAAGAGGGGGATTAAGACAGCGCGAGTGGAGGAGAAATCAAGAGTGAAAGGACAAGTATTAGAAAATAAGAATATTTAAAGCTTTCTTCTGACAGTTGACTGTATCAAAATCGTAATGCAGGCCTCTGGTGATGTGACTATGGGTGGGCTTCTTAGGGACATCTGCAGCACCCGTGGGCTAGTACTTTAAAACATTCTAGCAAACGCCCTTGTCCTTACAGTGCTCAGAAATGACACCATTACAATGAGCTATGTCAGATATTAATGCCATTCTGCACCGCTAATGGGCTAAACTCAACCATATCAGGGAGGACCATACCCCTTAAGAAACAATGTACCCATGAGGGCTCATCATTGGAGATATCGAAAGGCAGGGAGGCGCGTAGGGCACTGGGGGAGTATGCCAAAGTGGAGTCCCCTATCTGCAGCGCTGCCTTGATGAGACTTCTGAGGTCTTATATCGGGGTTTTTAAATATTCACGCTTTGGGCTTTGGAATGGCCGTGAGGATCCAGGGGGCTCCACACACCATTAAGAACTCAGCTATCCTCGATTCACCCGTACTCAGAGGACAGAGGCCCGACCAATGAAGGAAATTACCCCAAATGAGGATTTTGTCTGTGTCTCGCTGAGTCGGAAATGTGCCAGATGTTTAGTGGCTGAGGCATGTTACCCCGCGCTGAATTTAAAAGTGCGTGCCAATGAGACTCTAAATGTCAATTAGAGTGCGGCGCTCTGTGATCCATGCCCAGGTGCACAGAAAAATATATTTCTTTGGGGTTATTTTGACCTTGACATCTCAAAGGATTTATGATTTATGTATTTTTGTCACTTCTGTTGCACAATCCAGGGATCAGCACAGCATTTTAAATGGGTACCGTTAAAGGTCGAAGGAATAGTACAAAATGTTTGGAAATACATCTTTTTGCAAAGGGTTTAGTTGATACCCCTCTCATTTCTGTGTCATAAATACCTAGCTTGAAACAGTTGATTAGCTCACTATAGAGGATACAAACAGCTGGCATGGCTCTATAGAAAGATACAAATATCCAAGTGTTTGAACAACTGTGTAGATGTGATGTTTTTTGCATCAGGGCGATAAAAAGATATAACACATTTAGATAAAGCTCAAAGGATGGCTTATTTCATTGCAATAAATCAATCATTATGCCGATCATGGACAGCATTAAGAGGGGAAAGAGAACCTATTTTGACAATCCCAGACACTAATATTAAATATTACAAAGAAAAATAAACTCCTTAAGTGTTGAAACATTTCAGCCTGCTTCAATAAAACAAATGGGTACCACTTTACAATAAGATACCCTTATAAACAGGGGTGCACATAACGTTTTTGCCCTGGTTCTCAAAGGAGCACCTGGAGATGTTGCTTGGTGCTCATCCTTAAAATGAAATAAATAAACCGGTCTTTATTTGCCAGACACACGGCACAGAACACACAGAGGTGAACACAGAACACACATGCAGAGGTGAACACAGAACACACATGCAGAGGTGTAGCACGACCAGTAATCCTACAAGCTGTCATCACTACCCTCCTGACTGTTCTCCTCACTGTCTTCCTCACTGTCAGACATGGTAGCTGATGATATAGGCCTACTACTTCCTCTCTGGTTGAGTCTGTGATTAGCTGCTTGCATCCACAAGTCAACAGCTGGGTTTGGGTCGAAAGTCCAGTTTTAAAGGATATTTTTGGTTACTGTCCTATAGTAGCCTATACATTGGAATGATTTCAAACCTGTTTATCCCAATAATTATAAAGGAGTGCCTTGGAAATATGTGTTTACATAAATCGTGACCAAACCGTTTGAACTTAGACTATGAACTATCTAAACACTCAGAGTCCTTTACCTCACTGAGCTGTAGTGATCAGCCTCTCAGTCTGACTGGAGAGGACTCTCCCTCCACATCATTGTAGAAACATCTTCTTCTTATATCCGTTAGAGCAGCTAGCACCAGATTCTAATAACAACAGCGCCGGTACCCGGTGCACCCTTCCTCTCTCCCTCGCTCACTCGCATTTTGGCTGTGAGCTGCGGGCGCCAGATAAGCCAACATCCCCCATTTTCATCACTTACAGCGCCCACAGGGCAAATGAAACGTGTAACCGGGGTGAAAAGGGTGTTACATTTTACTTAATTATGAATGTTGTTACATCAAGGCCGAAAATTAGGATGAGCACCAACAGTCAAAAACATTTTTTTCCCTCCCAGAACTACCAGCGCAGCACCTCCACAGATCTGGCGCCCTAGGCGAAAATCAACGCCATTGCGACGGGCCGGCCCTGAGTTCATATGCAACTCGCAAATATCTTTCTCTCTCTCTTCTCTCTCCTCTCTTCTCTCTTTTCTCTTCTCCCTTCTCTCTCCCTGTTGGTACGCAAATGCGCCTTTTTTCAAATGACCCGGTGCTCTTTTTTTGGCCG